GCATGGATTCCTCCCTGGATTGCTAACCCCAACTTTAGCTAGCACCCCTGATGTTCCAGCAGATCTTACCTCAACTATCAGTTCATCACAGAAGGCTTTCTTCACCTTCAAGCCAAGGCCAGACCCCCTTCTTATTTTCTTTCTTTCCTTTAAGCATTTACTTCCATTTAAAACTATACAGTCATTAATATGACTTTTAACTGTGTCAATCACCAACATTAGGACTACAAACTTAGGACATCAGGCCTTTGTATTCTACTAAACATTGAAACCCTAGCATCTAACACAGTAGCTGCCTCATATTAAGTCCTCAGATATTTGCTGAAGATTCAGCTCAACAATTACAAAAAATGAGGCGCATGTATAATGCCATAACCACTTAGCACTATTTGTAATAGTTCCATGTTAAAAACAACCTAGCAACCCATCAGTAGGGGACTTAGCTAAATATATTATGATGTATCCATATTTGACATATTTCCACTGGCTTAAACTGTCAGCTTGGCATTTGGCAGGTTGTACCACTGGTGGTACAAATGGATTGAATCCCTTCTTCTGGTCTTTTTCCTAATACAATTAATAAAAAGTCTATAAATAGATCAAATCTAGTTAGTTGCTTGGATTTGAATAATTACTGCCCAAATATAAGCTTTAATAATATGTATTTGTAATAATAATATATAACTGTAACAATTTTTAAAAATTGTTACAAAAACCAACAAATTCATTTTTAATTTGTGCCTATAGCATTTTTTCATGGGTTAATAGTTCATCATTAATTAATTCTCTAAATTTTACCATGGAAATTTACAAGTACTTCACTGTTGGTGTCTACGTGCATTCACAACTGCTGCACCAATCAGGTCCCTGACGGTCTAGTGGCTATGACACAACTGCTGTTCCACAAATTAGCCATATTACAATTTTTAATACGATTTTAATGTTTTCCTTAAGGAACTGAAATTTAATGACATCTGGTCTACTAAATTACTGCCTTTATTTGATTATAGAGACTCCCTGAGCAGCGGTACAAAACCACCCAATGGGACAGTCGTGTATGTACCACCGGTGGTTCAAGCTGGCAGGAATGATCAAATTCAATTCAGAGCCACGAGGAAACAAGACTTATGAATTATGGCCCCATCATAAACATTTTAAGGCAACTTCATATGTGTTGATAGGGAAAAATCTCTAAGATCTAATTGTGAACAAAGCAATGCATAACAAAGTGTATATAGTGCTGCTGTGTGTCAAAAACAACAAAAAACAATGCAAGTTTGGCTTATTTGTTGGATAAAAACAGTCACGGAATGTTTACCCAGGAAACTAATCGCAGTAGTTTTGTACCTGGAAGATGGGTGGGAACCAGGGCATCAGAGGCGGGAGAGAAGCTACTGGCTACCATTTTATACTTTCAGATTTGAATCTGAAAAGTCTGTTATCTGTTCCGTTCAGTTTGTTATGTTTACAGTTCAGTGAACACTGCACACTGTAAACAGTGCTCCTGTACAAAAGTCATTAAATGCTGCTAAAAGGAAGAAGCTGTGTAGGATGTTTTCCGCCTTATAATCCCCATCTTTGACCCACACCCCGCTTCCCAGCGCTGTCTAATCACAGAAAGTTTTAGGACTTACCTAGGAAATAGCAGAAAGCTTTTAAAAAGCTTTTAAATGTCCTTTTTCAAGTGATACTTTAAAATTACAGGCATAATAAACCCCCGCCATTACTCTTCGTCGTTTAGTTTGAAAGTACTTTCAAACACATGCTCTAATAAGAGCCTTATAACACCTTTGGTTTATATACATCTAATCCCATTTTATCAATAAGAAAATGGCAGTTGTGAGAAATTTAAGAGACCTGCCCAAGCTCATTCCTCTGGAAGCAGCAGAGCCGATCTAGACCTTCCGGCTAAGAGGCCACGTTCCTTCTCAGGCTCCTCGGAGAAGGACAGCTCCTTCCTTTTGGAGTTGCTTTCTAGCTCCAAAAAAAGGAAAGGAGAACATGAAGGGCAAAATGACCTTCACAGATTTTGTTTTGATCCCATGATATTTTATGACAGACTGATGTAAGTGTGGGTCAGGCTAGATCTGAGTCCTAGGGGATGGTTTTGGACTAGCAAAAGGGAAAAATATTCAACTTCTGTTTTCACTGTTATACTTGCCGAGCAGGGAAAAAAAAGAGGAAGGAAAAATGTCTTTGGCTGGTGTAGAGAGAATCCTGCCAGTAAACCTCCAATGTGCCAAAGACATCCCCTCAAGTCCCATTAACACTATGACACCAAATCAAAGAGGCACTGAACACTTAGTACCACTGCTGACGTCTTGGCAACTTTTAAAAGCAAGATCATGTTTCTATTAACCAAGGGCTGGGTGGGATATTTGAAGAAGGGAAGGCATTGGAAAGGAATCAGAGTGTGGGAGGATTTTGCTCCTGAGGAATGAGTTGAATGGTGCCCTGGGTGTGCAACACAGAGGTTTCCCTATGTAAGATTTTCCTCCTGTTCCATCTCCTAACCTGCAGATCAACCCTAGAGTCCCAGATTCCTGTGTTCCTCCCAGATAAAGAAAGAACTAAAAGCAAAGAGAAAGACATGCAATCTTTGAGACTAGCATCTGGGTCCACTGTCCTGGCTAATGGAAGCTCAGAAATCAACAGCACCATCAACAGAAAGCACATAAACTTGCTCACCTGCCTGCAGGATTTACAGTTGAAGACAACACACACACACACACACACACACACACACACACACACACACACACGGCATTTATGCAAGTCCCTGGGCATTCACAACTGCTCTCGGAAGATGAAAAGGATTAGCATGTTCTGATTAACAAAAGTCGCCTGACACTTATTCTTACTGCAGTGAAACAGCGACCTGAACAGCAATCTTGATCCCTCCTCAGGTTAAGGGAAAATGCAGAATGTTCCTGACATTCCATAACATGCTTATCCTGGATAGCAAAGGTAACTTGATGCTTACCTTCCCACAAAGACAGACATTTTAGTATTTTTTAAAATAAGGGAACAAGTAGTTGTCAATAATTCTTCATCTAACTCTGTGACTATCTATTTACAAGCGCCTTAATCATGCTAGACTATGTAAAAATACCACTAGGAGCATTGCAAAATTCTTAAAGTACATTTCTTTAATTTTAATTTTTTAAATCAAATGTGAAAATGTTGGCCTAATTTTATTTAGCTCTGATATGACCTTTTTCAAAGTGGGCAGGGAATAAAAATTGTACAAGCAAAAGATCTGAAAAATTCAGTGTGCCTCAGATCGAACTTCTAAATTCAACTGCTCAAAAGCACAGCAATCTGGAACAATTCTTTTCCTCCCTTCAAGTTTTGACTCTTTCTCCATGTACACTGCACTCCCACACTTTGTTACCTAAGAGGTCAGAGGACTAAAGGGAAAGGGAAAAGGAATCCTCCTAAGATCAACATCTGATCGACAGAAATAGATCTGTTTTCACATTGAAACAATTCTCCATGGTCCTATTGTTCCACTTTTTTTTTTTTTTTTTTTTTTTTTTTTTTTTTTTTTTTTTTTTTTTTTTGCAAATAATGGAAAAATCTAATTCCAGAGTAACGTTAATAGCTTCATTATGTGACCATAGGGCAAATAGGTTATGTAGCTAAAGTTTTGGGGTTAAGCTATTCCAGGATTTTTAGAATATTAGAACTCTGGACATAAATCTGTTACTATCAAGCATTTAGTTAAATAAGTGGCATGCCCAAAAAGATTGCTTTCAGAATGTGCTAGGTATGACTCACACTTTGGATACTTAGGCTTAGACTGGCTGCATCCAATTCAGTATAGAGTGGATAACAGTAAAGATTAAGAAGGGTAAAATAAGTGTTTGGAAACATGTTAGGGACAAAATATAAGGCAGATTTCCAGAAAATTCTGATGAAACACAGAAGGATTAGAAGAATCAAGAGTTCTGTCAGGAGGAGAGAACTAAGAAAGAAACCTCTTTGTGTCAAAAAAGAATAATTTCCATTGACTGGACATACCTGTCTATCATGTGAACAGCTGTTGTACAAGAGTCTCAGGAGACCTTTTGGGGGCAGGGAAGCCTGGGTTAAAGATAAAGAACTCAGGAAACACAAAGCAGCTACTCTAGATCTTGCCACCAGACAAGAAAGGTCATTTCCCCCAAATTCTTGTGGCTGCAAAAAGGGGAACCACCTAATGTATGCAAGTCCATTACTTATCCTATAAAAAGGTGATTCCCACAGCAGAACTTTCTCCAGGACTCTGTCACACTGCCCTAAAGACAGCTTCGTGGGGGCTGGAACTGAAAGGCCACCACCACATAAGCCTAGACTGACCTGGCCCAACACCATCCCAACTCCACTGGAACAATGCCATGTTTTGGAAAAGTGACAATCCTCAAAAATCTCCCCCAACTGGGATTTGATCCAAATTGGATCTCTTTATATTTTCATGCCCAAAATGGCCCTGATCCTTCTATTCCCCAATCACTTTGGCCATCCTATCAGTTTTAACAAGTATCTTAAAATCATATCAGTATTAGCTTATTTCATTTTCTTGAGGATTTTTTCTTTCCACAGAACAATTCCATAACAGTAACAAAAATAGTCACAATGGTTTACATATATTGAACACTTACTCTTCTAGCACTATGCCGAGGGGTTTGCATAATTACATTTCACATATTTAAATCATACTCAGCCCTGTCCTATTGCCACTGGTCCTATTGCCACTTTGAAGCAGGGGAAACTGAGATACAATAAACCAGCCTTCATCTCATTTTCTTTCCATAATTTGTGAATAAATAATAAATACTAAAACCTCAGAAATCCAAAGTTTATGAGCAGTGTTTTCTAACAGCTGGGAGAGAAAGTGAGGGATAAATATTTGGTCTGAGTTTTTTCAAGAATATTCTCGACTTCCTCGGTCACAAAATTCATACAAGATGTAGCAGACCCATTGTTCTGCTGTGGTGCAGTGTCTAGCCAGCGCTTACCCTGGTGTCTTCCTGGATCTCCCAGTCACTGGAGAAAGTCACAAGCTGCTGTCCGTGGGAACAGTTTGCAAACTGAAAAAGGCTGGAAAACATCCTTCTGTTTTCTTGTGTATCAGGAAAGATGGCATCTTGGAAATTGACTCCATGAGGCAAGAGGTTATAATTTTCATCCATCCTAGTAGGGAGGGGAAATAAAGCAGAGATGGATCTGCGATGGCTGGAGTAGAGCAGCTTGGGTCAAGAATCACAGGGGATCGTGGTAGTCTCGCTGAGTTCATCATGGAGACTAGCACGTCCTCATGAAGGAAGTTCCTACAGTTACCACTTCCATTTGTCTGCCTCACGCTTCAATTCTCTCCGTAAGGTTTTCAGAATGACTTTGGGATAGAAGGGGGAAAGTATATGTTGGCACGCTTGTTTGTCTATTTGTGCATCTTTCAGATCCCCAATAAGCCTTTCTTCTCAGACACAGTATCCTGTTTCCAGGTTAGAGAAAGGCTAGCTGTGATGACCTGGGTTCGGGTCCTGCCATTGCATTATCTTGTATATGACATGAAACAGATGTCTTAACTTGTAAGCCTCAGTCTCCCTGTCTGTTGACAGAGGATTATAACAGGACTGTACCTGCTTTCTTAATGGTGTCATCAGGATTGCATTAGACAAAGTAAGTAAATAAAGCACTTAGAAGGGAGGCAATGTAAATATTAGTAAACTTTTCTTTAAACCAAGCCTGATGCAAATCTCTTGTTAGAGCAGTCACTAAAAGAAGAGGTAAGGATTACAATCCAGGCAAAAGGGGGCACAGTGGTCTCCCCAGGGAGTCTCTGCTGCCACCCTGTACACACACACACACTGACTGCTATCTGTTCTCAGGTAGGGGCTCCCAGAACAAGAGAAGAAATTATTTCGATGCAATTATTAATACACTGCAGAGCAAGACCGTCCTATGAAATGAAAATCTGTGAAACTACTGTCTGACTTGGTCTGTCTGCCCTCTTTGTGAATATGCTAGAGCAAAAGATGAAAAGAGTTGGTTGACCACTCCAGCCACTGGACAAAATTGTTTAGTGATAAAAAAAAAAAAAAAGAAAGAAAAGCAATAACGTCTGCTCAAGTACTTGGGCTCCCCCTGCCTTGGAAAATAAAGTGTGTCCTTGAATAGTTTTATAGCTGAGTCCTCAGTATTTTTCCTAAACAGAAACATGAAAAAATCAGTTAAGTCTCTCTGTATGTGGAAGGCAGTCTCTCTGTCTTGGCTGACTTTATTTAGAAACTACACTTTCCCAGCAGTTAAAAAAAAAGCAACTCACCCTAATCTAGCTAAACCCCCTCAAGCCAACACAAAGCAGGACATGTTATTCTAAACTTAGATATTCTGGCTTCAGTATGGAAAACACGTGTGGACATGAGCTTCCAAACACCCCTACATGGAACTGTTTGCCTTCTCATTGTGACAGGAGGTAAAAATGGTGTCCTAGGTCCAGATGCAGACCTAAGTCTGGATCATTCCAAATACCCAGAGTGTCCCTTCACGGATTCAGAAACCTGAAACTATTATTGATCACACCACCTTTGGATTAATTCACTCACTCTCTACTCACACGGGTTCAATTTCACTTTGATGTTTCCTGCCAATGTTTTATATCACTTTAATTCAACTGAAATCAACCAATGAATTTAGGGTTCCACCTGCTGTTTTACACTTCAGCAGAATTCAGTAATCAAAGAGAATTGTCTGAATTCTAGGGCAAGATGCCTTCCATCTTGACCAAAGGCCAGTTTCACAGTACCTTACAAGGCTATAGTGGTCCCGAATCAGAGAGGACCGCCTGTCTGATTCACCTCTGTGCTCTTCAAAATGTTATGAACCAGTCTTACCCCTAGCAGGTCCCAGAAACCTTTGCTACTGTGAAAAACCTGGAGGCTAACGAAGACGGTGCAACAAGAGGACGGCCAGGCTGTGTTTGGGCACTGAAGCGGGTACCGCGAGAGTGAATCCTGGTTACACAACTACTCTGCACCAGGCGCTTTGCCTGCGCTTCTCTGCTCTAGTATCGACCAGCCTTGCTTCTCACCTCGTGCAGGTGAGGATGCAGAGGTCCTTGTTAAGTAACTGACTCAAAAATGACAGGAAAGAAAAGTCAGGTTGCAAAGACTGATTTCAAAGATTACTTGTTTCACCATTCCAATCTGTGCCCACGGGAACCAGTTTTTTAAAAAAATCAAGTAGTTGTCAAAAAGCACTGTGACCTTTCGCCTTAAACACCAGTCTGTGTACATACAGCACAATGAAATCACCGCTGGCTTGTAAAGAGGTGATCAGGATCCTGTAGCAAGGTGGACTGACGAGGAGGGAACAAAGCGCGAGGGGGCAAGACCTCGCGGGAGCTCCCGAGCTGGCCGCAGGTCCCTTGCAAAGGCAGAAAGGTGGCAGCGGCGGAGGCGGCGCCCGGCTCACCTGAGGAAGAAGAAATAGGAGTAGCCCTGGACGACCGTGTGCGAGTGGCAGGAGAAGTAGCCCAGGCCGGTGAGGTTGAGCCTGGAGCCGGCGGGCACCTCCAGCATGCTGCCCCACGCCTGGTCGCACAGCATCTCGACCTCGGCGGAGTAGAAGAGCGCGCCCTGGCCGGCGTGGTACTGCCACGGCAGGTAGTTGTAGAGGCCGGGCGCCTCGGGGTGCAGCGCCAGCACCTTGGCGTACACGATGGTCTCGGCCAGCTCCGCGCGGCAGCCGTCGCTCAGGGGTCTCCACTCGGAGGGCAGCTGGCAGGCGCGCGCCGGGCGGCCGGCCAGGCAGAGCGCGGCGAGCAGCAGCAGCGGGCGCAGCA